GGTTTGCTGCCAAGGACCTGTCTGTCTGTTAATAAATTGCGTAAAGTATCTTTGGCTCAGAGCGTGCTTTGGTGTGGAACGAGGGAGCTCAGAACAGTTCTCCATGGTCTTGGTATATATAAGGATATCTTCTAAATAGACGAGTACCCCTTGATACAGATGCTCATGCAGCACCCTCTCAGAACCTCACCAACCCCCCTTCCCATCTCAACGATAAGGCAGACCCAATAAACTCACTTCTCCCAGAGATGGGGTGGCCCCCGTGAGGGCGCTGATGTCCCCGAAGTGGGTGAGGGAGCTGAGCTGGGAGCCGAGGACCCCTCCTCGTCTACGCCGGGCTTTCTCCTTCCGGGTCACGTTGAGACGGACCATCATGCTCTCCTCGTATTTGGTCCTGTGATGAGACAAGAAGACGGGGACATGTTTGGACAGCCGAGGCCGAGGAAGACAGCAAGGCGGATGGCGCTCCGAGGTAGACTGCGTCTGCCACTGGAAGCTCCGCTCGGCACCACGGGGATTCCTGCTTCAAAATCTGTTGATGCCTCTCCCATTAGGCCCTTCCACACTGCTTTCTCCTATCAAAGCTTGGGACCCCAATCCATAAAGCTTCTACTTTTCCAACTTTGCCCCAAAACTCGGGATTTCTCCATTTGTCCTCTCAAGCCCGAATACTACGTTTCCCCAAAAATAAGACAGGGACTTATTTTCTTTTGACGCTTGGCCTTATTTTCAGGGAGGTATTATTTTTGAGGTGCAGGAGGTGGTCACCTCCTGGCTGCTGCTGTGTTGCTATATTTTCGGGGAGGGCCGATTTTCGAGGAAGGGCTTATTTTAGCGCATGCACTCAAAAGCCCAATTGGTCTTATTATCCAGGGAGGTCTTATTTTCAGGGAAACGGGGTATATTTTGGAAACTTTGAACCCTGGGCGTTTTGCCACACGCCTGGAGTTGCAAACCGTCGAGTATTTTAAGCCAATGGGATCCACATGTTAAGACACCGGGCTAGAAAGCAGGAGACGGTGAATTGTAGTCCTGCCTTCGGCATGAAAGCTGATTGGGTGACTTGGAGCCAATCACCGGGAGGCGGTGAGTTCTAGTTTCGCCTTGCCCATTAACAGCTGGGAGGTGAATTTTGGGTAAATCACCAGGAGGCGGTGAGTTCTAGTCCTGTCTTAGATGTGAAAGCTGACTGGGTGACTTGGAGCCAATCACCGGGAGGTGGTGAGTTCTAGTTTCACCTTGGGCGTTAAAAGCTGGGTGGTGAATTTGGGGTAATTCACCAGGAGAGAGTGAGTTCTAGTACTATCTTAGGCATGAAAACTGACTGGGTGACTTTGAGACAATCACTAGGAGACAGTGAATTCTAGTTCCACCTTGGGCATTAAAAGCTAGGTGGTGAATTTTGGGTAACTCACCAGGAGAGGTTGAGTTCTAATCCTGCCTTAGGGATGAAAGCCCTGGGTGACTTTGGGACAATCACTGGGAAATGGTGAGTTCTAGTCCAGCCTTAGGTACGAAAGCCACTAGGTGACTATGGGGCAATTGCTGGGAGAGGGTGAGTTCTAGTCCTGCCTTAGGGATGAAACCCACTAGGTCTCTTTCGGCAATTACCAGAAGACATTTGAGTTCTAGTCCCACCTCAGACATGAAAACAGGCTGAGTGATGTTGGGCCAATAACCAGGAGACCGTGAGTTCTAGTCCCGTCTCCGGCATGAAAACTGACTTGATTCAGTCCCTCTATGTCCAGCCTGCCTCACAGAGTGTTTGTTGTGAGGAATCTAGGCAGGACGAACGAATGTTTTGTGCATTCATCACTCTGAATTATTTGTAAGGACTTAAATCTATTATCTTTTATTTCTATCTCTCTATATAAAGGCTGTATGTATGTTCCAGGATAACTCTGGAACACCTGGCCCGTTAAGGAGCACGAGTGTGGCATCCTAGAGCGGCAATTGTTTGTGATGTCATGGCAGGGGGAAGGGAGAGCCTGGGCCGTTAAGGACAGCGAGTGCGGCGTCCTAGAGCGGCAATTGTTTGTGATGTCATGGCAGGGGGAAGGGAGAGCCTGGGCCGTTAAGGACAGCGAGTGCGGCGTCGTAGAGCGGCAATTGTTTGTGATGTCATGGCAGGGGGAAGGGAGAGCCTGGGCCGTTAAGGACAGCGAGTGCGGCG